CAATAAATATATATATTTAAAAAAGAAAAAGAAATGCTGGGCCTCAGCCCTCCACCCCCCTTAAGGCCTCCTGAATGAGAAGCCACATTATAACACCCCAGGACTTCTGGATGAGAATCCATATTATAATAATACTTCAAGACTACTGAACAAGGAGTCACATTTTAAAAACATCCCCACACATAGGGTCCATGTGCACATTCATGTTAGAAGCAAGGAGAGGGATAGCAACCAAGGTCAAAGCTCCACTTCAGAATCAGGATTCTAACCCAATCCTATTGATTATAGCTACCCAATCTTGGGCAACATACTTAACCTCTGTGATTTCAGTTATTACTCCTGTCGAATGGGAGGATATTTCAACAAACCTATAAGGTAGGTGATGAGAGAACTCATTAAAATACCCAATGTAGTTCTTAAATTCTGATAAACAGACCATGATTCTTAAAGTATGTAGTTATTCTTGCTTATCTTGTATGAGTTAGGAAATAATTTTTCCTCAAAGCTCTGTGACTCTGGGCTAGTCCCTTTGGGCTGTATATGATAGGAATGGTTGAAGGATAGATGTTTAGACAATGCTGAGTTGGAAAAAAATAGGGTTGAAGTTAGGCTGGGGGACGTATTGGAGTCTTGGGTGCCCTTACCTTATCCCTGGCCTCATTCAGTTGGTCCTCCAGCTCTGAGAAGCTAAAGCTGGACACTGTGATGAAGTCACTCATGACTGGGACAAACTTGTCATTAGGCTCCCGCACCTGGCGTCTCTGATATTCCAGCTCCTGAGGAGAGGAGAGGAATGTGTTACTTAGATGATGCCAGGATGAGTTAGGAACACAGGAATTACCACATCTCCCACCCTTCTTGTCACTCACAAGACGTCGAGTCCTTTGGAAGAGGGAATACCTCAAGTCTCAACATTTCTAAAGCTGGCAAAGACTATGAGAGTTATCATGCCATGTGAACAATGTATACATAATGGAATACTATTTAGCCTTACAAAGAATAAGGTTCTGTCATTCAAAACAAAAGTTATGAGCCTGGAGGACATCCTATTAAGAGACAGACTAAGCATAGAAAGAGAAAAACATGCATGTTCTTATTCATATGTGAAAGCTAAAACAGTTGATTCCATAGAAGAAGAAAGTATAGTAGTGGTTTATTTAGAGGCTGGGAAAAGTATGAGGAAGAGAAGAATAGGGATATATTGGTTGATAGAAACAAAATTACAATTAGATAGTAGAATTAAGTTCTAGTGTTTTATAGCACAGTAGAGTGACCACAGTTAACAATAATTTATTGTATGTTTAAAAATAGCTAAAAGATTTTGAATGTTATTAACACAAAATAATGCTAAATGTTTGAGGCCATAAATATGGTAATTACTTGATTAGATCATTACACATTATATTCGTGTGTTGAAAAACCACTCTATGCCCCATATAGAAGTGTACTTATGGGTCAATTATTTATAATTATAAATATATTGATAAGGAAATTAAAAGGAATGATATGAAGTATCACTTCTTCATAGTGATATTGTAGGGTTAGGTGAGTTAGCTGTATTTATATGTACCAGACAGTATTCTTTATTTTTACATTTTGCTAGAGGGGCTGTGCAATTGCTGGAAAGAGACAGAGAGAGAGGGAAAGTGAGAAAGCACCCCCATGAGCCATGGGAAATGGTTGTGTCACAATCCCTTCTTCATTTCTCCTTTTGGAATTTTGGGCACACATGAACATATGCCTATATGTTTTTCAAGATGCCAAGTTCGGGACTCAAACCATATTGTTGGCCATGTGGGATCTAGGTGTCTTAACCTTCATGCCACCAGCTGACCCAGTATTCTGACTTTCATTGAGAGCTACAATGTCTAAATCTACTCAGTATCCTCTAAGAAGGACCTTGCTTCTCAAAGTATGCCACATGGACCAGTATCATGTGCACCTTACGGGACCTTGTTAGAAATGTTGAACCTCTTCCTGCAACCCCAGAGACAGAGGAGATAGAAAGAGCAAGAACGGCCCACGTTGCTCAGCTTGAGCACATCAGGGAACCCACCCAGCCTGCTGTGGTGAGGAGGGGTTACTCCATTTTTGCTCTGGTCTCCAAGAACCAACTCCTGGTTCCTGCAATCCCAGAGACAGAAGAGATAGAAGCTCAACCTTCATCCATATTGCAGGCAGAAAAGATTTGGGTATACCTGAATCAAACACCTGAAGACAGAAGATTCTGGAAGAATCCACAAGGAAAGAAACTGGCAGTACAAGGAAACTCCCCTCTAAAAACCTGAACCCAAAACTCCAACTGTGCTCCACACTTCCACCCACAGTAGAGGAAGGAAACTGTCACAGAGCTAATACCCACCATAGAGAAGGGCCTGAGCACACAGTTACAGAAACATACTCCATAGAAATAAGAAGAATTGAGTATACTAGCAGATGACTAGAAATCAAAGCAGAGCCTCAAGAAACAGGAAAAAAAAATTACAAAACAGGAAATATCTCCCCCAGAAGAGAACATAATAACTCCTCATCAACAATAGATAAAACCCAAGAGACCACAAAAAATGTCAGAAAAAGAACTTAGAATATTCATTGTGACAAGATTCAATGAGATGCATGAGAAAAAGAACCAATTTCAAGAGATCAGAAAATCTTGACTTGAAGGAGGAACTCCATAAGTGACAAACACACTGAAAAAGAATCAAACAGAACTTCTAGAGATTAAGAATGTAATGCAGGAATCAATACCTCCCTCAAAAATATCAAAAGATTAGACCACACAGAAGAAAGAATCTCTGATTTGAAGACAAAGCTTCTGAATTAGTCCAAGTAAATGAAAAGAATGGAAAAGTAACCATTAAAAATCAGGACAACATACAGAAATCCTAGTCACCATTAAATGGATGAATATTCACATAATAATTGGTATTCCAGATGGTGAAAAGACAGGCAAAGGCATAGAAAATATCTTTCATGATAGGTTAGCTGAAAACTTTCCAAATTCAGAGAGGCATGTAAACTACAAAGGACATTGAATAGATATAAGATCTTCTCCAGCCATATCATAGCCAAATTGGTAAAAATCAAAGACAATGACAACATTCTAAAAGTGGCAAGAGAGAAATGCCAACTTACTTACAAAGGTTACTCTATTAGACTAAAATCGAACTTCTCAACTGAAATAATGCAGGCAAGGAAAAAATAGGAAGATATATTTAAAATGCTGAAAGAAAAACAATTTCTGCCAAGAGTATTATACCTGGCAAGATTATCCTTCAAATGGGAAGGAAAAATAAAATCATTCCCAGATAAATAAATGCTGAAGGAACTCATCAAAACTAAGTCAGCTCTTCAGAAAATACTTAAGGAAATACTACACCAGGAAAGTTAAGGGGAAATAAATAGAAGTAAGAGAACACTAAACAACTTAAAAAAAAAAAAAAAAGAACACTAAACAACTTTAAAAAAAAAAAAAAAAAAAACGATAAGTCCATGCATATCAATTAAAACATTGGATGTCAGGATAAATTTCCCTGCTAAAAGGCAGCTTCAACTATTTTACAAACAAACAGATTTAAGCACAGATTCACCAATTATTAAATAGATAGTTGTCTCCACAGGTTTCAATTTATATATTTATTATAACCACTACTCATTGCATAAAACTGAATAACAGAGGAAAAGCTCAAAATGTTACAAGTAGCTGAGTCTCACTTTGGAATAAATTTAAAGGCCAAAATCAAAAACGTTGTAAAGCCTGTAAATCACCAAATCACTGACTTTACCATGTCTTTCACTTTTAAACATCTCTTTTCAATTTTGTTTTGTTTTTGCTTTTTCAAGGACTTATTTATGCACAGTACAGTCCTACAATCTTACAAGAACTCACAGTGAGTGAGTAAAAGTTTTCTTTTTCTGTCTCTTCTTCATGGACTATTGCAATGTACAATTTTACTTGTCTCTAACTGGACCAATGATACCACCAACCTTTTCAGATTATTAACTCCTATCTCTCAGGAGATAGGAGTCTTCTACAGGGAAGTTATACATTCTTTTTTCATTGGCTATGTTAAGATTATCTTTGTTAATTTATAAGACTTTGTTGTCTGATTTTTAATCAATTTGTTCTTCTTTAGAACAGTATTTCAACAGTCAGAATGTCATAGACAATTCAGTGAATACTTTCAGAATAACCAGTGGGGTGGGCTCTGAAAGATCACAACATAATATAATGTTAAATATTAAAGGTGATAAGTATGTTAATATCCTCAATTTATTATACACTGTATATATGCTTTTAAAGATCATTCTGTACCCTACAAAGATGAGTACTGATTATATGTGAATTATAAGTTACAATAAATATATATATTTAAAAAAGAAAAAGAAATGCTGGGCCTCAGCCCTCCACCCCCCTTAAGGCCTCCTGAATGAGAAGCCACATTATAACACCCCAGGACTTCTGGATGAGAATCCATATTATAATAATACTTCAAGACTACTGAACAAGGAGTCACATTTTAAAAACATCCCCACACATAGGGTCCATGTGCACATTCATGTTAGAAGCAAGGAGAGGGATAGCAACCAAGGTCAAAGCTCCACTTCAGAATCAGGATTCTAACCCAATCCTATTGATTATAGCTACCCAATCTTGGGCAACATACTTAACCTCTGTGATTTCAGTTATTACTCCTGTCGAATGGGAGGATATTTCAACAAACCTATAAGGTAGGTGATGAGAGAACTCATTAAAATACCCAATGTAGTTCTTAAATTCTGATAAACAGACCATGATTCTTAAAGTATGTAGTTATTCTTGCTTATCTTGTATGAGTTAGGAAATAATTTTTCCTCAAAGCTCTGTGACTCTGGGCTAGTCCCTTTGGGCTGTATATGATAGGAATGGTTGAAGGATAGATGTTTAGACAATGCTGAGTTGGAAAAAAATAGGGTTGAAGTTAGGCTGGGGGACGTATTGGAGTCTTGGGTGCCCTTACCTTATCCCTGGCCTCATTCAGTTGGTCCTCCAGCTCTGAGAAGCTAAAGCTGGACACTGTGATGAAGTCACTCATGACTGGGACAAACTTGTCATTAGGCTCCCGCACCTGGCGTCTCTGATATTCCAGTTCCTGAGGAAAGGAGAGGAATGTGTTATTTAGATTGATGCCAGGATGAGTTAGGAACACAGGAATTACCACATCTCCCACCCTTCTTGTCACTCACAAGACGTCGAGTCCTTTGGAAGAGGGAATACCTCAAGTCTCAACATTTCTAAAGCTGGCAAAGACTATGAGAGTTATCAGCTGGTCATGCTACCTCTACCTTTCCCTGCTCTCACCCATCACTACCATGTATGTTTGTATGTATGATACATGTATGCATGTATGCCTAGATTCTGGCTTCCCAAAGCATACTTGAAAACCAGCAGAATAATCTGAGAAGTTTTAGGAAATACAGACTGTCAGGCTCCACCCCAAACCTACTGGATTAGAATCTACATTTTAACAAGGACTCCAGGTGGTTCATGTGAAGACTAGAAACATATTTGTAAAGCTCCCAGCTATTGTGGTGGTTCTTGTCCATGAACCACACTTTGAATAGCACTTCACAGGACTATAAAATTGGAAATTTGGAAATCACTCCCTTCTCACAGTGGCAATAAAAGGTTCTTTTTCATACTTAATCTAACCTCAGTCTCTAAGTCCATTGGTAGTCTCAGTGATAGTATCTATCAGCACAGAATGGTAGAGACCAGAGACCAAGGTATCCTGCAGTCAGCCCCCGAGTCCTCCACTGGTCCAGGCAAGAGGTGGAGGAACAAAAGGAAGGACTCTCTGTTGACAATTTCCTTACTGCCACACCCTCTGCCCCTGCCCGTTTTCAAGGATGGAAGATCCTCTTTCCCATCCAGTTGGATCAAATTTAAGCATGTGGCAGATTTATGGTTCATTCCACTCTACTGCCCAAGAGACACCATGTTAAATACTGACATGGACATAGTCTACATAGATATTCTTTTTTGGGAGTCTAAATTTAAGTACCAAATAATCCAATCATCTTTTTCTGAGGGCTGACATTGTGTAAGAGGCTGTACCCATTGTTCTGGCTATTCTGTCATCCCAATGAGGAGCTTAGGTGACAGGCATCCAGTGACAGGCAGCATGAATGGTTTTCCTTTGGCAACAGACCCTCCATCTCAGGTAGCACAGATGAGGCACTTACCACCTCCACTGCTCTTAGGCCCTTCTTGAGGTTGCCCACCTCCTTCTCCAGCTCTGCCAGGCTGTGAGAGAACAGAGTGGGGGAGAAGGGAGTCATCAACTCTAGACTTGACAAGTTGAAGCTTCAGGTAGAGGGCAGTGTAAAGCAAAATCAGGGAATCTCCAGACCTGGGTTTCAGCCCTGATTCAGCCACTGACATGTGCCTCTGACGGACTGCCTCCTTTTATGCCTTTGTGTTTTCATAAAATAACAGGAGTGCAAATTGTGGTCTACAGATCTTTCTAGATCGGAAATGTGCTGTATATCAGAAGGTTTCTTACATGTGGCTCCTGGCTTAGAATTATCTATTTTTATTACTATCAAGTAATGTTTATATGCTCTTAACATAGTATCTATATGCCGTAGCATTCAACACCCTTCGGCTATTTACCACGATATGTCTGGTTCTACTGGGAATGACTCTCATCAACCTAGAAGTTCAGGTGTTCAATTCTGATTTCCTGCCTGTTGTTGATATTCCACCCACATTTCCTTGACCATCCATTGTAGTGCATGGCACTGACTCTTCCCACTGTGTGAGCACTTGTTCTGAGGCTGAGCCCCACTGCCTGTCTCTCTGGGCAGGAGGTCAGCCAATGATGAACAGAAGTGCCAAATGATTGTCCCAGCAACCTTCTCCTTGCAGGAGGGAGGAGGGATTAAAGAAGCAAATGTTCTATACTGGTTCCCAGAGTTCCAAGCGCCTACAGTGCTAACTGGCTTAATAACCTTTCTGTTACTGGTACTCTTTCTATCACCAACTCACTTCCCTACTTCTCTGCTGGTGTTTTCTGGGAGCACCTTTGAAATAAGGATTTAAAAGCAAATGGTCTGTGTTTGGTTCTCCCAGAAGCAGACCCTGAGTTACTGTAAATTCCTAGTCAGCCCAGAATAGACCCCAAAGAGAAAACGCAGGCACAAGTGTGTGTGTGAATATGGGGAGATGGAAGTTCTGGAGGGATCCCTCACTTGACTTTGGCAGCTTCTGGTAGATGCTGCAGCTCAGAAGGCATGTTCAGGATGTCAGGGAAATGCTTCTCCAGGATCATGATCAGGTAATGGAGCAGAGAGATGTTTCTGTGGACAAAAGTCAGGTCAGGGATAAGGGACTGAAGAAATTGGGAAGAAGGGTCAGGAGGAAACTAGGGTGGGTGTTAAGGGATAGAGGGGATCAGTCTTGGGATGGGAAATGGAGGAAGGATAAGGGGAGGAGGTAAGAGGCTTGGCAGGGGTGGTGAGATAGAGGCTGAGGAAATGGGGAACTCCCCACCTATCAATGCTGGACTTGGTATCAGCGATCTTGTTGAGGCTGGCCACTCGGAACCCGTAGGCGCCCCCACGCTGCCCTTTGTTCATGAAGTTGCCAATGGCCAGGACGACCTCTAGCATCTGCTTTAGGCGCTTGCTGCGGATCAGCTCCCGGGAGGCCAGCAGGATGGCTGGGAGAGCAGGGACAGATCAGAGCCCTGCACAGCCTGCACCAGGGCAGCCTTCCCCTTTCTGGCACCCCAGGAAAATACAACCCCAAGTTCAGGAATGTTATCAAGTATCTTCAGCTCTCAGAGGACTAGAGACTACCCACTCCTCAGCAAACCAATCTACTCACATCTCCACATCTACCCACCTCCAAGGGAAACAAACTCACCAAAGGCCAATTCACTAGACAAATTTTTTTCAGAATGTACCAACTCTTTCACATTAGATAATATCTTTTCTCACGTGTATTTAAATATTATCAATGTATCCCTCCTATAAATATACTTTTACCTTTTTTGTTTTGTTTTGTTTTGTTTTGTTTTTTTGCTATAGGGCACGTGCACTCGCCAGACAGACAGAGAGAAACAGAAAGACAGAAAGCGAGAAATCACCCCCCAGGGGGGATGGTCACGCTGCAATCCCTTCTCCTCCATTCTCCTCTTGGAATCTTGGGCATGCACGCACACGCGCCTGGCGTGAGTTTTAAGCCACCGGGTCCGGGACACGAACCACAGTCGACTACATGGGAGTCCAGTGACATAGCCATTACGCTAACTGCTGGTCCCAAT